CTGTTACACCAAATACACAAAATAATGATCTTTAAAAAAGCATCATATGACCCCTTTAAAGCAAATTTTTAAAAACCCAAGTCATTCAATAATGCTTTTATATTAAATGTAATCTTTAGCAAACCTCAATATGAATATCCATTTTTCATACTGTGCATTGTAATGTTGTGATGCCTAAATTACCTTGTAGCATTTAAAATGATTAATTTTATTTTTTGTGATTTATTTATATATTTTATATATAGTGTATATATTTATATATAGTGTATATTTTATATTTTTTAGCCATTTGTTTGTTTCCTGCCATAAAATAAAAATAATTAACGCTCATTGTTATTGGCTATAATTTTTTTTTTTTAATAACTTATCAATGGTCGATTATACAGTTTAGTGGTCATTATATAAAAATATATGGCCACAGAATATCCCTAGAATAAAGCTCTCTGCTGTTTATGCCAACCTCTGGAGGGCTGAGTGAATTACCAGTGGGACAAGAATCATAAATATGTACAGAGTGCCTCATCTTCCCTTTGATTAATAGCTTGTGGCAAAGTGAGATCTGCGAAAGTTCCTTCGCTCACAGTTGTCACTAGGCACTATTGTTTTCTGTAAACATGTCGCCCTCCCTTCTTTTTCTTCTTTTCTCTTATGAAGAGTTCCGCAAACAAGTTTTAGATAACCTCTTTGGAAGTGGTGTGTGCTTCCTGCATGATTCCCCTTTGAAACAGGACCAATATAATCTTGGTGGTGTGGGAGCATTTGGGAACATTGTGTTTCCCAGGATCCCGTTTCAGTATTGCTGAGTGCGATCTTTTGAGCACAAACAGCTCTTTGAGTCTCTGCATTCACTACTGCATTCATCTATCCTATTTTAATACAGTGACCATCTACTTACACAAGACCCCGCACATTAATTACTGCCAAAACGGCTGAGCTGAGGAGAAATAGGCACCGTTAACCGTTGATTGAACTGTTTGCATTGACTAAATGATGTAATTGCTCTTCCTGTTGGTAGAGATGTGGAAAGAGGCTCTTTTCTCTGCCACTGCACTTCTGTATGCTGAAAATGGAGCCATGTGGAATAAGAATCTCATTTTTGGCGGTGCCATAAGCTGAAATCAAGCTATTACACTTTGTTCTGGAAATGCAATGACGCACAACATGGCTGGCATGCTGGGAGTTTTGGAATGAGTATGCGGTGACTCTTCCATCTCTTCTGTGTCCCCAGCTGCAGACAGCACATCTCACACACACACACACACACACAATGCTGGAAAATTCACTCAAGCATCCAGGGATACATTTTTGGGTGAGTCAACGGCAGTGATGTTGTTGCATCAAAAATGAGTTGTCTTTGAATGTGGAGGTGAGTGGAGCCAGGTGAGAGCATCTCATTGGATGAGATGCTTGTGATATCATCTTTTGTTTTCCCACTGCAGAGGTGACGTGTTGCTGTGGGAGCACTGATGCGTGACATGTGGCCGGGGGCTGTGTTACGCGCATATGTGTGTGTTTTCACACGTTAACCGCTGCTTAGGCTCGCGGGACTATCACTTAGCATATGATCTGTGGACGGAGTTACCTGTTTCAAAATGTCATTTCATAAACAAAGAAGACTCATCAACACCAGCTCACTGCTCTTTTCTGAGAGTTGATGCCATGTTTTTGGAAATAGACTGGGACTGCCCCCTAGTGGCACTTCTCACCAAAAATTGTTCAGTTATATTTGACAGTATTACTGTAGCATTACATTATATTTTGAACTTTGTGTGTGTATAAATATTTGAAATGTATACTTTTATTCAGCAACAGTTCAACTGAGCAAAAATGATAGTTTACATGGTTACAATTTCTGTTTTTTTTTTTAAACCTTCTATTCATCAAAGAATATGGAAAAAAGTAGCACAGTTTCCACAAAAATATTAAGCAGCACTGTTTTCTACACTGATAATAATAAGAAATGTTTCCTGAGCAACAAATTTGCATATTAGAATGATTTCTGAAGGATCATGTGAAACTAAAGACTGGAAAAGGCTGAAAATTCAGCTTTGCCATCACAGGAATGAATTACATTTAAAAACAAATTAAAATAGAAAACAGTTATTTTAATAATTCTAACCCCAAATTTTTACTTTTAAAGCTGTGTGTGTGTGTGTGTGTGTGTGTGTGTGTGTGTGTGTGTGTGTGTGTGTGTGTGTGTGTGTGTGTGTGTGTATGGAGAGAGAGGGGGGAGCTATGTCTGAAGCCTACATTGTTTTTGTGTATGACAGAACCGTCAGCTGTTGAAGGACAGCTTCATGGTGGAGCTTGTGGAAGGGGCTCGGAAGCTACGCCATGTTTTTCTCTTCACTGACCTCCTGCTCTGTGCCAAACTGAAGAAGCAGATTGGAGGGTAAGGAAAATCTCTTTGTTTTCTCTCTCCCATCTTCTCCTTTCATTTCTATCTTTCCTTAATTCTGTCTGCTCTTTCATCTCACTCTCTTCATATTTTTAAAAATTCAACCACTTTAACTCTCATTTACCATATAAGTATTGTTGAGTCAGATACACTTGTATTATTTTCACAACCTGAGCCTAACATCCTGGCTCTTCAGACCTGTGGGCCCAGTCTGCACCAACATCAGTGCTTTATAATCAGATTTCAGGATGTATTTTTGCCTGTATATTAAATTATTTTCCCCATCACCCCATTTCCCCCTTGTGCTGTCTGTCTGCAGGAAAAGCCAGCAGTATGACTCCAAGTGGTACATTCCTCTCTCAGACCTCACCTTCCAAACGGCAGAAGAGTCGGAGCCCCTGCCTATCCCACAAGCCCCTGATGAGGAGCTGGATGCCATTAAGATCAAAATCTCATCCCTGAGGAGTGAGATCCAGAGAGAGAGGGTACAAAATATTTTAGGCAACTTTTCACTCCAATTGTAAAAAAAACTTGTTCTCAGACTTACAGACCTCACTGTGTATTAATGGTTTTATATTCATATATGTAAAAAAAAAAGATTACAATTTTAAATACTTGCTGTTCTTTTAAATTTATATTACTCAAAGAATATATATATATATATACATTCAT